CCTAGCGTATACGCTTAACCTTCCGAAGAAGATGCGCACGCATCCGGTCTTCTATGTCGGCTTGCTTAAGCCATACCAAGACCCTGCTCAGGTGAGCGCGGAGGCGTTGGCACCAACGGTGGCTGGGCCACGGACAGCTGCAGGGCAGCAGGTGGTAGAGCCACGGGAGGCTGAACGACAGCAAGTGGTGGATCCACAGATGGCTGATCAACAGCATGTGGCAGAGCCACAGGTCGCGGAGCGAAGTGCCCGAGATGCAGGAGCAAGGCAAGCTGAGCGTTCAGCCGAGCAACTGGACGCTCAAGGTCCGAGACCTGGTTGTGAGTCAGCAGTGGTGGCTCTAACCTATCCACAAGGTGGATCATCTCTTCGAGATCGACCGATGGGCGGTGAACGTGAACGTTCGCGTCGTGGACGCCGGCGTCGTATGGACGCAGACGCCGTTCCGGCACGTGCTGACTCTCCCCGCGAGAGTCCAGCTGAGGCTCGGCCTCCTCCTGCTCTGCTCGATGAGCACGGCGAGATCCACTTCCATGTGGAACGCCTGATGGCGAGGCGCATGCGCCAGGGTCGTACTCAGTACCTTGTGAAATGGAGGGGTTATCCTCACTCACAAAACTCTTGGGAGTTTGAGGTTGTCCTCCGGCAGGACTGCCCTGACGTCGTCGACGCTTTTGATCGGGCACACTCACTGCCCCGCCGCTACGGCGTACGACCGCGTCGTCAGGTGCCGAGCGCTTCCCGCCGCTAGAACGCGGGGATGACAGGTCGGTGGCTGAGCTCAAGCTCCGACCAGTGGCTGGAGCAGCCGGCTCATAGGAATGAGCGGTGCTCGCAGCATGAGCAAGAGGTGGTGACGCCTCGAGGTGATGGGGACGGGGTCCCAGTGTCCGTCGACGTGCTTTCGACTTAGCGAAGTCAAAGCACAAACGTCTCTCAAGACGGATATCAGTTTCAGAGAAACTTGCTCGAAGAGCATTGTAGGAGGGGAGCCGTCGAGCTCCCTCCACCCAGCTTCGGAATTGTGCTTCATAAGCACGCTGGGATTCCCCAGGGTTGAGAACAACCGGAATGGTTCGCATGGAGGGAACCGGTTGGCGGTTGAGCTGCATATGCAGGCGCGCCTGATACTCCTGAGGAGTTGCGACTTGTGGAGTCAGATATCGCTCTCGGAGCCGGTGCCGTTGCACTTGCTCATCAGCAGTCGAGGCCGCAGACCCACACGTGTACGTGTTCAGCGGCTGCTGCGCCGCGAGGCGGGCCGCTTCGGCAGGGTTCCGCGGCTGGAAGCCGTAGTCACGGCGTGACGTTAGAACAAGTGGTCGGACCACAGGTCGGAACGACTGCGAGCGCTGCTCATTGGACAACAGACGGCCTTGGGCCTCGTCCAGGTCATTCGTAATGACGTTGTGATCGTATCGATCTTCCTCGTCATACCGCGACGATAGCGGTGGCGCATCGCGCAGCGAGCGAATCGGATTCGAACGTTCAGAGAACGGATGCGGTGTCCGCAGGTCTCTTCTTGTTTGAGATTGCGCCGTTGAGCGGCTAGACCTCACAGAGGAAGCGGGGGAAGACGCGGCACCAGTGTGCGACCTCGGAGAGGTTGGGTTGGAGTGATCCTCACTACCCATGGGCTCGTCGTAATCGACTTCGCCCTCTTCGAGTTCCGAGAACAGAACATCGTTCCCTCTGGGCGGCGCCCGCGGCTCTGACGAGCTTTGAGCTTTGCTCTCTTCTTGTTGACGGCTCATGGAGCGTTGACCGTGGCGACGGCGATACGCTTGGTGGTACTGTGCCACCGAAAGAGACGAAGATGCTCTTGGAGCAGTTGCGGAGCGCAGTTGGGGGTCTGGGACCGACGAGGCAGGGGCGGCGCGACGCGCTGGAGACGTTGGGCCGTGGGCCGGAGTGAAAGTGCCAGGCATCAAGGATGCGAACGCGTTTGTGAGCTCGTGGAGCTGCAGAACGCAGAGGTGAGGTCTAGTGACCTCCGTCGTCTTGACAAGACGTGACCTCGCTGAGGAAAGTTCGAGAACGGTATGTTCTCATCTTAGTGAGGGAGAGTGTAACGGGGTTACATGGTGTGGAACACACAGGGGTACGAAGTACCCGGAGAGTTAACAAACTCTCAGTACATAAGTTGGAGAGTTAACAAGGTCTCTCAGTACGTTGGCTGAAAGCCACACGTTATGCATTTGATTAGGTTTAACTATGCTAGATAGTTAAAGAGATACATTTACCCCTAGGCGGCTTGGCCGCAATAATAGTAAATAAAACACTTCTGGTTTTGAAGCATAAAAGTTAAGGTGTTAACTTTGAGCCCTGGTCTTGGGCTGTAAGTGTCCTTTGGATAAGGAACTTAGTATCAGTGACTCTTTGAGTCGAACGTCTTCCTCTGACGCTAAAGCTACGGCAGCCCCGCTGCAAGCACACTTCGGCTGGAGCACCGGCGATGGAAGGCCAACGGCCACGAAATAGTATCTACCACGAAGCCTGTGCAACCCACATAAACGTTTGAGAACAGAGAAAAGTTAGCATTTACGAAAAGGCCGTACTAAAGCGCATGAACCCACAAGAGAGAGGACATAGCCGCTGAGCAGCGTGGGCCATGGGTGAGCAGGAACCACGAAGCCGAGAAGAGCACGAACGAGCATGAGCCATTGAGGAAAACAACACCCAACCTGTAGTACGGGGTAACGGAAACGTTCCAAACCACGATATTATACGGGGCCGAATGAGACTTCGGAAAGGCAAGTGGTTAAATACACGATGCCAATATATACTGGGTGAACCACGCTCTCAAAACACGCGACACCAAGAAGCACTAAAGCTGAGGCCACCTCATCTTCAACAAACCATTCCACTCCGCCGCGTAGCGGCGGCGAACGGCTAGTCCTAAACTATCAATGCTAGCACGGTGTCCGTCCGTCCGTCACACGAAACGCTCAGATTTCTTAGCCTTCCCATTGGCTGCCAAGCGGAGCGAAGGCGGCTTCGATTAACTAAAATGGAATTATGTAGCTTACATCAGTAAATTCATGTGGTTCACAGAGCACATATGGAGATTTGCACAATACTATCCATTATCCGAAGGCGGCATCGTTTTAATACTACGAAGTATTATATTTACTTTTTAATATTGCATGTTGCTTTCAAATATTTGAGTGCTACTTATTCTCTAATGAAATAGCCCCTAAAGACCTAGACGGTGCTTAGCGTACACGTAGATATGCGTGTTTTCGAGGCCATACTATAATATACGTAATACTATATTCTTAATAGTTTGTGCAAGAAACAATGACTAAAAGAATAACTACAATTGTTTTGTTGTACAAATATTAAAAAAAATAAGTGAATGTTAGGTAACCGACTGAGCTGCCAAATAGTAGTACATGTACAACAGAAGCTGGTCGTAAGAACAACGCTGTGCTAAGTCACTTGATCCATAAAATGGATAGTTTTAGATTGAATAAAGCGACCTCATTTGTGTTACTGGTGTAAACCGTTGTTTTCTACGAGTTGTTTAGACAGCAAAATCCGATACTATTAATACTTAGCTGGCGGGTGTGTCGCCGACAGGGGCGTAGGATAATATTTTAAATGGAGCAGCAATACAACAATAAACACTAGAGGTGTGAATTATTGTTGGTTAAGTAGACCCCATATAGAAACGTTAATAAACTCGGAGCCTAAATGACGTCCAATAATCCTGGAATCATCGTTAAATTATCAAATAGAAAACACTACCGTCGACAGGGCGTCTTGCGACACAATATTAAAATGTTTCAATCATAACTGGCACAGATTCGAGTACTAATTCTGAATCATGAGCGCTACATACATTAAAATAGTAGAATTTGAATATTTTCTTAGATTTATTGAGTTTGATATGAAAAGTGAACATTCTTTAGTTACTTACAAACTGAGTACAAGTGGGTAAGTAGTGCAATCTGGACAAACTATTACTATCGTGTGAGCTAAGTTTCATAGCGGCTCAGGAATGATCCGTGATATCGAGCACGACGCTAAACTAAACGTGTTGTGAAGCGTTTGTTTAAATGCTATTTGAAGTGCAGGTGGAATATGAAGATACAGTGATAGCGAAAAGATTGCATCAAGAATCTTGATTCAAGATCATTCGAATATTTTATATTTAATCTGGAAATATGATGCTGATCCAGATTAATGAAATTAAGAAAAAAACGATTTAGGCGCACATGGTTCATTTAATTATAATGGCAGGAATGCTAAAGCAAATATTAGTAAAACTAAACCTAAACTACCGCCGCGTAGCGGCGGCGCTCGGCTAGTCGCTAAAAATACACTACTCAGTCTTTTGAATGGAACAAACCGCACGATGACCTGAAACAGAACCGTTTCGAGTAGCTTTCAGGCCATGAGTATCGCCTTCCGAGTCTGACCCCATGGAACGTCTGTCCGTGATGCTGTACATGTAGCTGCCTCTCCTTTTCGAGCAACGAAGAGTAGCGCTGCTCACGGAGTGGCACTGACTAGAGCTCGTAGAACATGTACGAGTACCTTCGAGTCGAAGTTTGAAGTTCGAAGTCAGACCCCCCTATTGCTGTTTGATCGCGCGCGCGTTTTTATTTAGGTGGTGTCCCTCAAGTCATCAGCTCTCTGTCCAGAGTGGCGCACACTGGCGTGGTAGCCACTGGCAGGTATGAAAAAGATCAGACATCGGCGTTATTTGCAGATGGCACTGATTTGATTCCGGTTGGTGTCGGTGTATTCACCTTGACTCAAGGCTTGAGCGGCAACCAAATGTATTATTAACCTCGGCTGGTGGCTGACAAAATCACGTGTCTCCCCAGCTCCACACGCAGAAATCTATTCTGTCGAGATTTGTTCTTGACATCTCGGCTAGTTTTCGCTGTAGAGGTGCATTTCAGTCGTCATACGGCAGCTGTTTTTGCAGCACCCTCGGCGTACTTGCCACCTATAGTTGTTGGGCTGTCTGAGAAGTTCATCTGATCCAGATGGCCACCATCGTAAGCCGCATATGGTGCTGTCGTACGGTACAGTTGCAGGATGCTGACACGCTACGCATAGCCAATGGCTATTAGCCATCAGCACGAGGTTGTTCGCTTCAGGCATGGCCCTACTCTTCGTCATTCCAGCATTTACCTTTTGAGCAGCAAGCCCAAACTTCCACATCCAACGATGAAGCTCATTATCGCCTCCTCCGCCGTCGCACTCCTGGCCATCCAGGTGAACGCCCACGGCTACCTGCTGCCTACTTCCCCAATAGTATCGACACCTCGTACAATGGTCTCCTCACCGAGTCGAGCGACGCGGCATTCTCTGGTCTCAAATGGAACGACAGCCCCGAGGGTAACACCGCCATGTTCAAAAAGGCGTTCCCCAACTCAAAGTTCAAGACACTCAAGGCGTTGATGGACACCGTCGCTTCGGACTGCGGCAAGACGTCGCTAACTGGTTCGCCTGTGGATGTGAGCTCACTGAGCTCCATGACTTGGCAGAATGACCAGGAGCAGAAGGGGTTCATCGACTCCCACCACGGACCTTGTGAGGCCTGGATTGATGACAAACGCGTTTTCCACTCGGATGACTGCCGAGCCGATTTCACAACGTACCCGGCCGAGATCCCTATCGATTTCTCGTCTTGCAGTGGAGACTGCACCTTCACCTTCTACTGGCTGGCATTGCACGAGCCCAACTGGCAGGTCTACAAGCAATGCGCGCCGATCACCAATGGTAGTGGCGGTGGCGCCCAGACTCAGACCACGGATGCTCCGGCGACTACTACGGCGGCATCGACTGAGGCTCCTGCAACTACGGAAGCCCCCTCTACCACGGATGAATCGACTTCCGCCGATATCCTGCAGACGACGGATGCTCCTGCCAGCGATGGCGAATACACTTCGGCTCCTACAACTACGGCACCTGCGGCAGGCACGGTTGCCCCAGTAGATGTTACCGAAGCCCTGAGCACAAACGCTCCGGCAGCGACATCCACCTCGAACTGCAAGGCGCGTCGTCGCCGCATGACCGCCAACCTGCGCTCAGAGAACTAGATATCCAAACCAGTGGTGATGTTGTATGTATCTTCATAGAAAAAGCGTCAAGGCCGTACGAATTGTCGTCAATGTGCTTTCACAGTCGACCCTCCAGAAAATGTATATCAGTCTGCTAAACTTTACAGTCTCGTAAGCTTAAACGTGTTCTACAAACATTCAGGGCTCCCGATTATGGCATGGTCTCTTCAATTATTTCTTATGAAATCATAAAATTATTTATTTCTTCGATTACCTGGATGTTATTAATAATTTATTTGCTTAAGGAATCATCCGACATAATTTATGAGCAAAACCTCGTTATCATTATGTACCTCTCACAACCAACCATGACTTTTCACTACTGTACTTAAACTCTCTGTTCTCTAAGCCAGCTATACGACACAGCTTGCTCACGTCCTCACTTTTTAATTTGAGCAACTCGAACAAAGCCCCTCGCTAAGCTACTATGGTCCTTGCCACGCTCCCCCGCCACGCCACCTTCACGCCAGCCCAGGTTACTGTGTGCGTGTCTTGGGAGGGAGCCAAAGTCTAACGAGGGCCGATAAGGCAGTGCTGCAGCCCTTCCGCTGCCTGGAAGAAGTAGAAGAACCTGCACGCACTGCAGCAAAGCGAAGGAAAGTGAAGACGAAGGCTCGCCGTTTAGCAGCAGTTCAGCCGCGGTACAACCTGCTTAGCTGCATTCCACCTACTTCTAACCTTGTTGATAGGTTCTTTAGCGTCACCAGGACGACGTACGGGCAAGAGCGCCAAAGCTTGCAGCCTATTACATTAGAAATGGTGCTGTTCTTACGCCAAAATGGTGAGTATTGGTCAGCTCAGAATGTCGACGAGGCCACTCGGTAATTATTAACATGTTGTTGGTTTGCTTTACATTATGCTCTTATTTATTGTTTGTGCGCAGTACATGACATAATGTATGTGATGACACTAGCTGCCCAATGCCATTATTTATGGTTAAAAAGGGTTCCCATTAAATAACAATGCCATAATCGGGAGCCCTGCAAACATTAAAGTACTTGTGGTCGTGTTTTTTTTTATTGAGCAGAATAGGATCTCAGACCCGTGCATAGAGTAAAACGTCGAAGATTTGGGATTATAATCACTGCTATTAATACCAGTGCTGGCAATTGACTGTAAATAATGGAACGTCTAAATGTTTTAACAGTTTATACATTTTAGACGTGTGTTTAAACGGTTTTTACGAGAGCCAACAGGTAATTACCTGGATGAAGTTTAGCTTGCTTTAAGTAAGCTCTCCACCACAGGCCTTCTAATAAGAACAAAGCAGTATATCATTAATTCTAGGGACGCAAAATTTACGTTTAATCACAGCAGACGATGGATCCTTATGGTAATGCGCGGCAGCATGGAAAAGTGTTCAAGCTGTATTCCAGCTGAAAACGAGCTTCACGGCAAGCTTTCACTGCCCGCGACCTCCAGAGCAAGCAATTTTCGTTGTAGCGAGACGCACAGCCAGGCCTAGGTGAGCAACGAGAATTTTTTATTGGAGGATGTCACCTATCTCCAACTGTACCAAGTGTCAACTGGTCCGTGCCATACGTGTACTAAAATTCTCTTTGGGTTATGGTGCAAACCCATACGTGTACTAATAATCTCTTTGTGTTGTGGTTTCCTTCTTAGTGTAGCCTCAGCGGGCAATGTCACTCGCCTCACTTTCCGTCAATAGCAGGAGGCTCTAAAACCCAGGCAAGCCGCGAATTATTCTCTACCGGAAAATTATTAATACCTGTTGTTCTGCCCCTGCTGACCTGTTGCTCCTTCACAGCCCCTGCTGGCCTGTTGTCTACCCTGGTGACCTGTTGCACATCAACAGGGAATCAGCACAACATACGCGGGACATATCGATACCGTGAGTCTGACGAAGTTCTGTAACTCAAGGCGAGTACCATCTTCAGTGCACTAATATGTCGACAAGGTGATATGAATTGAACTCAATCTTACGAGCTTCTCGTTAGCTTCTCGTTACGAATATTTATCTCATTTCTACAATAAGTGAGCATAGGAGCTGAGGAAAACACCATCTATCGAGAGTTTTGGCTACTTACCCTTTGATAGCACATGTTTGAGCTGCTTTCTCTGCACAGAGTGATGGTAAAGCACCAAGAACACCCACCCCCTTTCGAACTTTTACCAATTTGGTCACACGAGACGATCGAACGACTACGGAAATTCTTGCAATGTACATGCGAGGCCTTTATCCGATCAGGATGGGTGTGCTCTCACGTACTAGCTGTACTGTCCTTGTTGGACCTTTTGGATCTACGTACTGCTATGGCTACTGTTCCAGACCAGGTCGACCTCCAGCTATGTAACGGGGTACGTAGCACTAAGTGTACCCTGGTTACATGAAGTGTGACACTTCACACTTCAGGAGTATGACATGTCATACTCCGGGATATTTGGTACAAGGTACCAAGGTCATTCAAAACCAACCATTGGTTAAATGACATTGCATTTCTATAGGTAACTGATAGTTTGTATTAACCACAAACTTAACCTACCTATAAATATACTCAGTTTACAATCTACCTTATTTAGGTCACTTCGCTCTCTTTAATTAAAGAGGGGACCTGTGAACTGCCGTTCACTGAGAGTTTGTATACTCTCGGAAGATAACTTCCTCTAGCGCAAGGTGCTGTGTGACCCCGTCACACTTGGTAGCACTTGTAGTCAATCCACGCCATCGCGGGTAGACTACCTGAACCGCCGAAGTTCGTTGCCATGGATAGGAACGACTTCTCCCATATGAACGACTCTCAGTTCGAGTCGGTTCGGAAGATGGCAGGCATCTTCGGGATGGAGGCCCTGCAGAGCCTGGTGGTATCAACACCGGCTGAGCAGCTCGAGCGCGTCAATGCATTCGACGCGTACGAGCAGGGCCTCATCGCGCATGTGCGGGAGAACCTGCAGGCTCCGGCGGCGGAAGCAAACCCGCCTCACCCGAAGCCAATACGGCTGAAGGTAAAGCCGTATGAAGGGAAGGAAGGCGAGAACCTTCACTTCTGGGTCCGAGAAGTAGAGCTCGCGATGGACGCGGCTCTGATCTCGACCGAGCAACTGCGTGTTGCTTTTGCACTCTCCAACCTTAGCGGTCGTGCTAAGAGTTGGGTGTACACTCGGGAAGCGACATCCCCTGGATGTTTCACATCCTGGGCTCAGCTGTGCGAACAGCTCCGAGCCGCGTTCCTCCCGGCGAACTACGAGTACCGCCAGCGTTCGCGCTTCCTCGCGTGTAAACAAGGAAGACGCGAACTGCACGAGTATGTGCAAGAGATACGGGAGCTCACGGCGTCCCTAGTGGGAAACCCACTCAATGAACACATCAAGATGACTGTGTTCATGGACGGCCTTCGAGTGGGCCCCGCACGCACTCAGCTGTTCCGGGTGCAGGCAAGCACCCTTGAAGAGGCGATTCAAGTGGCTCTTCAAGAAGAATACAGCCATCGCCAGGCGCGTACGCCGGCCTCAGCGTGGCCTGGGAGTTCCTTGTCGGCTCCCGGTCGAACAAGCCCCAACGGACCAGTTTCCATGGAACTCGGGTCCGCCGAACAGCGTGACATCCGCTGCTTCGGCTGTGGGAAGATGGGCCACTTCAAGCGCGACTGTCCCGCGGAAAGACTCCGCAGACGGTCCTTCCCCAAGCCCGTCCTCAAGGGTCGCTGGCAGAAGCCAGGATCCCGGGGACAGGGGAACGCAGGGAACCAGTAGGGGCGGGGCGCCCTACTGGGGAAGAACTAAGTCTTCGTGATGGGTGCGCGGGTGGCGCGTACCACGGGGACTTAGCCCCTGAGAGTCTTCGCACTCTCGAATCGGCGAAGAGCAGCGGCGGGTTGCTCGTAGTACACGGATGTGTACGGGGGTACGATCACCCCTTTAGAATCTTGATTGACTCTGGGGCGTCGAAGAATTTCGCACGCCGCCAGACGGTTGCTCGTAACAGCAACAAGTTGTCCGAAGCTTTGCGAGAAAGCAAGGGCAACGGGACGGTGTCAGTGCGACTGGCCGACGGGAAGGTCGTCACTGTCCCCAACGTCCAAGTGGATCTGGCTGTCAAGTTTGAAGACTTTGACAGCCTCGAACAGTTCACTGTTCTCGATATGGATCCATATGATATGATCCTGGGCATGCCCTGGCTTGAGAAGCACGAGCCCTGGATCGACTGGCGAGGCAAGGCAATCGGTGCCAGCCGCCCTGCGCAGTCCGACAGAGCATTGGTGAGTCATGTTCCCACCTCTGTCAGGACCCGGGGCGCCCGCGAGGGCTGCCAGGGTACCAAAGCATCCGGCAGATGCTTGGGAGTCGTCGACGTATATGACGACTCCGAGGATGTTTTGATGGTGGCCGCGCCCAGAAGAGGCGCCGGCCAAGTGGGTAACTTAGGTCCACAGGCGGGTAACTTAGTTCCGCAGACAGCTGCAGCTGTCATGAACACTGAGAACAGCGTGTTCAGAGTGGGTAACAGAGTTCCACTCACGGTCGCCCAGACCATAACTGAAGAGGAAGACGTCGGATACGCTTCCTGTGTGGGTAACACAGTGCCACACGCGGTCGCCCAGACCTTAACTGAAGAGGAAGGCGTTGAACACGCTTCCTGTGTGGGTACAACTGTACCACACGAGGCCACGAGTGCCTCGGATGTCGTAGCGACGACATCCCTAGACGTGGGCAGCAAAGCTCCCCGTCACAGAAGCCGTCGGCAAAGACGCCGCCGCCGCCTCAAGTCGGATCCGAACTTCGTTCCGATCGACGTCGCTTCAAGCGACTCGGAGTCCAGGGCCCGGGCTCCTCCGACAAGGCCGGTGGAAGAGTGCTATCACATCTTCGATAGCGAGACGGGTTTACCCGTCAAGGCATCTGGTGTCCACTTGGAACAGTTGCCAGAGGTTGCAGAGATACTGAACCTCGAGGAAATGACGGCTGAGTCTTTCCTGGCCAACCTCAAGGCTGGAGAGATCGCTGAGATGGTACTCATAAGACCTGAGACCACTCAGGAGGAGCTGAACTCCTCCTCTGTCTTGGACGAGAACGTCCTGGAAGACATGAACAAGCAGCGTCAGGCGCGCTTGGGTTC